CTGAATGAGCATTGGGAGAGATAAGAGGAAAACCACGAGAGGGCAGAGGATTTGTTCACACCTAACTCGAAGTTGGCTTCGACTGAGGAAGCCGATTTGCATGGCGAAACGTGTTTTGGCAAGCATAGGACTACTAGAGAGACTAATAAGTAATTTTATATCTTGTATTTGATCATTTTAAAATAGTGTTTAAAGCATCTTCCAAATAAAAGTACTATCAACGTTTACCTGCATCTTGCACAGTGATTCCGGTAGGGGGAGTGTCACCCCCATAATTTTTACACCAGGTCTACATACTTAGAGCCAGTTACAAAAAGGCTCTTAACCTTAAGGACCAAACTTCTGGAATAAAATGGAATCATGACATGTCACACATGTCATGTGTTCTTAAGGGGTTAAAAGGGTGAACACCTAATTTTATTTAATTTTGGGAAATAAATTTGAGAGTGACTATTAAAGGTACTGCACCTAGATCCTGTTTCTCCTGCACCTTTTTGTCTATTACATATATCCTGGAGAAAGTTACATCTATCGTCCAGCAGAAAAGGGGTGCGCAGTCTAACTTAAAGACACAGGAACCTGAAACTTTAGAGCCTTATACCCTGGAAAGGCTCTTAAAAATGTGAGTTTATCTCAGTTTATAACTCACACTTTTACCTCTCCTTAATTGTATATACAATATTGCACTATTATCTAGATCTGTGTTTTTTTGTCTTGCATTGATACTACATAAAACGAGAAGTGTATAGAGGGTAAGTGTTTTATGCACTTCTGAGGAATACTTACCTTATATATTGGTATAGCACTGCACTCAAGAACCAACAGCTTGGTAGGTGGTAACACCAACCAGACTGCGAGTTCACGTTCTTTTTGATTAACCATTATGTGTCTTTATAGAGTGTGCCTGTGATCAGGGCCAGATTAAGAGCCCAGTGGGCCTGGTGCTGACAATTGTGATGGGGCCTAATTACAGAATCTTACCGACCAAAAACACTAAAACAGTCCTACCTCCCAAGCGTCATGTATCTGATGGAGATGGTGCATCAAAGGATGCAGCTATAAGAATACACATACTCTATGCTAATCTCTCTCTAATTTATGCTTTCATCTTTCAAGTAAATCCATACCCCCTAACAGCAATGTTTAGTGAAGCAGGAAGTCAATGGGCAGGGTAAAAGGGTGGGCCACTGTCGCGAATCACGTGACCAGAACTGCCAAAAGGGGCGAACATGCCCAAAGGGGGCATGTCTGTCCAAAGAGTTGGACGCCCAGTCCCCTAGTCTTCCAGTGTCTCAGTGTCCTCATTTCTCCCTGTGTCCCCATGTCTCAGTGTTTCCCTTGTCACTAGGATACTAGGGGACACTGAGAGACACCAGGGGACACAGACACTTGGGGGCACTTGTGGATACAGACATGGGGACACTAGCTGGGAGGCATGGGGACACTGAGACCCTAGGGACACTGGCTGGGAGGCATGGGGACTCAGACACTAGGGAGACTAGGGGACACTAGGGCTGGGAGGCATGGGGGCACTGGGAGACATGGGGACACTGGGTGCCGTGGAGACACGGGCACACAGACATGGGGACACAGACATTTTGAGACACTGGGAGACATGGGGACACAGACACTGGGGACACTGGCTGGGAGATATAGGGACACTGGGAGAGATGGGGACACTGAGACACTAGCTGGATACATGTGGACACTGGGAGACAGATATTTGGGGACAATGAGACTCTAGGGACACTGAGAGACATGGGGACACAGACACTGGGAGCCGTGGGGACACAGACACTAGGGACATTGGCTTTGAGACATGGGGACAATGGGAGCCGTGGGGACACAGACACTAGGGACATTGGCTGGGAGACATGGGGACACTGGGAACCATGGGGACACTGTGTCCCTTGTGCCTCCCAATGTCCCTATGCCTCACAGTGTAGCCTAGTGTCTCAGTGTCCCCATGTTTCCCTGCTGCTTTCCCCCCCCATCCTTCACTTCCCTGAGCTGTTGTCTGTCTGCAGACTGGGAGCTGCTGTCTGAACTCTCTGTGCTGTGCAGATGCTCCCCCCGCGGATCAGTGAGTAGAGAGAGGCAGGGAGGGATATGCTGTAACTTCCTATCCCTGCCTCTCTCCACACACAGTGACCCCTACTGGCTGGTGCTGGTATTGCAGAGTAATCTCCATTTATACTGAGAAAAATATCTGCATTTGTATTGCCAGTATTACTGCAATACCGGCTGTGCTGGTAAAATATCAGTCAGGTGGCAAACCCAAGAGTAGTGTGTAAAAAAAATAAAATAATAATAATAATAAAAATAAAATAAAAAATATATATATATATATCCTGATGAAAGTTCTGTATTAAGAACTGAAACGTCGATTTTGTGTGGCAGTTGATGAATAAAAGCTAAGTTTTTTTCACCATTTACTTTTTGAAGTCCTTAGAGTGCTGTTACCTACCATTTTTATTTTCATGTTATTTGCTTTATTAGCACCAGGCATTAATCTATCTCTATAGGAGTGCAAGTATTTGAATATTTTATATATATATATATATATATATATATATGTTTAATTTTTTTTTTAAATGGGCCTATTCCATGGGCCTGGGCCTGGAGCTGCAGCTCCATCAGCCCCTATGTTAATCCGGCTCTGCCTGTGATGAGGTACACACATGTGTATATCTTTATAGGTGCACATACTGGAATATGCCTCTATACAGGACCATACACATGTAAATACCTCTATTTGGGGTCACACACCATCTCTATATAGGGGCAACATACATGCATTTACATACAGGCAACATACATGCATGCATACATAGAGGCATGTAGCATAGTTTAGCATTCAATTGGATGCAATGCTTCACTAAGAGAAGCATTTGAATAGTGGAGCGAGGTGATTACCGTACAGTTACTTTTCATCCACAATGTTTCTCTATTAAAAGTATTTGATTGGCCGAGAAGTCAAAGTTTTATAACCACAAAGGAGGAGGTACGGGCTGCTACAAGGACTGAGTCTTAGTGCTGGAATAAAGGTAAGGGGAGGGATTTTTTTTAATGTAAAAATGGCGTGGCTGAGGTAAAAATTAATGGCACAAGATGAGCTAAAACCAGCTTGAGTTCTGAGCCAGGACCCACCGAAGGGCAGGCTATTACGGTTGCTGTCCGTTCTCAGAATACTCGAGACCTGTTTTTTGCTCTCCATAAGTTTAAAGGGTAATCCAGACGTGGACCCCTTGGTCACGGTGCCTAGAGAGATATCAGCTATGCCTCACTGATGTTGCCTAACAAGGCTGAAACGATAGTCTGGGGTTGCTGTGTCTCTCATGCAGAGGGAACTTGCTGGCATTTCGGATCTGGACTGCCCGTATGGGTGGGACCAGTCTGATATGCTTCAGAGATTTTCTCTCTGTAATGGCACAAGATGAGCTAAAACCAGCTTGAGTTCTTAGCGGGCACCCACCGAAGGGCAGGCTATTTCAGTTGCTGTCCGTTCTCAGAATACTCTTGTGACTGTTTTTTTGCTCTCCAAAATTAGACCACAAACATTATAAACCAACAAATATATTTTTTTTTCATTTTTGGACTAAAGTTTTCTCTTTCACACGCAAAAAAAACTTTTTTTTTCGACAACCAATAAACAAACAAATGTCACTTTGTGTCCAGTCAGTTTAGGCTTGGCACAGATTAAATCATCACAGGTCACATCCTTATGTAACCAAACTAAAGATAGTGCAAGAGAAATCTGTCCTTTTATAAAGCTGTCAGGAAGCCAGGAGGGTGCTCTTCCTCACTCATGTTGAACATTTACTCAAAGACGAAGTGAAGGTTTTCTTATAGAGAAGAATTGCAGGCACAGAGAGGTGATGGCTTCCAATGCTGCTCTGTGATAGGCACTGTAGTGGCCAAGCGTAACGCCTTTTAAAGCAGGATTTGAGAGCAGAAATCTAAGCACACTAGACAACACTGCAGTGTTAATAGGAAATGTGTGACATCATAGGCAGTAACTACACATATGTACAGATATCTAGATTGGATTGGTAAATTTTTGGGTAATATTTATTTTACACTTTGGTTCTGTATATAATTAAGAATACAAAAAGGGAAAAATCTAAGTGAATTTCATATTTAAAACCTGAGTAGTAAAATTACAGCTAAATTAAGAGAATGTTTTCAGTTTGGTTATTTTGACCTTGAAGTTAAAATTCATGTTAAATTTTCACTTTAGTAAAAAAAAGTGAAAAACTGCTATCCTGGTTGATTCCTCTGATGCTCAAGCAGCCTTAACCCCTTAAGGACACATGACATGTGTGACATGTCATGATTCCCTTTTATTCCAGAAGTTTGGTCCTTAAGGGGTTAAAGGAACACTGTAGTCACCAAAACAACTTTAGCTTCATGCCTCTGAAGTTTCACTGCTCAATTCTCTGCCATTTAGGAGGTAAATCGCTTAGTTTCTGTTTATGCAGTCTTAGCCACACCTCCCCAGGCTGTGATTGACACAGCCTGCATGAAAACAAAACGGTTTCATTTTCAATCAGATGTAACTCAATTTATTATTTTGTAGCTCCAGCTCTGTAAATTGAACTTTAATCTCACACAGGAGGTTCCTGTAGGGTCTGGGAAACTATTGACCGTGCAGGAGATAAGAAATTCTAACTAAATAGAAAGTGCCATAAAGGAAGTATAAGCATTAGATGACTCTTACAGGAAGTGTTTAGGAAGGCTGTGTGAATAACATGCAGGGAGGTGTGCCTAGGGCTGCAGAATGAAAGTGATTTAACTCCTAAATGACAGAATTGAGCAATGAGACTGCAGGGGCATTGATCTATACACCAAAATTCAGCTACAGTTATTTTAGTGACTATAGTGTCCCTTTAAATTTACAAAAAAAAAATGTTTTTAATGTTCTGAGCCAAGAATGAATTCTTGTATGAGTCACCTTATGTGAATGAATAGCTAACATTTGACTGAAATAATTCCCAAATTCAGAGCAATAAAAATGTGTTATCTCTTGTGTGAATCCATTGATGACCTTTAAGAGCTGAATGGTGAGCAAAACACTTCCCACATTCTGAACATGAATATGGTTTCTCTCCTGTGTGAACCCTCTTATGGGTCTTAAGAGCTGAATGGTCAGTGAAGCATTTCCCACACTCTAAACATGAATATGGTTTCTCTCCTGTGTGAATCCTCTGATGTATCTTAAGATGTGACATCTGACTAAAGCATTTCCCACATTCAGAGCAAGAAAATGGTTTCTCTCCTGTGTGAGTCCTCTGATGTATCTTCAGATTTGACATGCGAGTGAAGCATTTCCCACATTCAGAACAAGAAAATGGTTTCTCTCCTGTGTGTGTCTTTTGATGATTCTTAAGATTTGAAAGGTCTTTGAAATGTTTCCCACATTGTGAACATGAATATGGCTTCTCTACTGTGAGAGTTCGCTCATGTGCCTTAATATCTGACATGTAATCAAATGATTTCTGCTTAAAATATTCATGTAAAATATAATTTGCACTGGTCATGCTATTTCCTTTGTGAACACTCTGATGGTTAACAAGCTCTGAATTGGTATATGAAACGACGTTACTATTCCCTTTGTTTTGTATTCCAGTATGAGACATGGGGGTAAGAAAATTCAAGACGGTGAGATTTCTATCTTCAAATGAGGCTGATTCCTTTTTATTATGAGCAGATGGATAATCTTTCTGTGATTGTTCTGTGGGTGTATAAATGTCAGCGTCTCTGAGATTTCCTTCTTTGTGTGACACAGATTCATTATTTGATGTATAATCCATCTGTTTATCTCCTGTGGGTGTATAAACCTCGGTGCTAGTAAAGGTGCTGGCTTCACATGAGACTGATTCTTCCTTAATATGATCAGGTAGATATTCTGTCTGTGTATGATCTGTGCATTTATAAATATTGGTGTTTATAAGAATTTGCTTTTCATTTGTTGATTCACACTCTGATATATAGTCCGTATGTATATCTTCCTTGGTTGTATAAATGGAAGCTTCAACAAGATTTCTACCTTGCCATGAAGTGGATTCCTCCTTAATATGAGTAGATGGATGTCCTATCTCTACATCTTCTGTAGGTGTATAAATGTCTGTTTCTGAGAGATTTCTTTCCTCACAAGAGTCTGATTCCTCTTTAATAGGAGTAGATAGATATTCTGTCTGTATATGTTCTATGGGCATATTAAGATCTCGGAGATTTTCTTCCTCAGATTCTGTTTCATGAGTTAACGATTTACTGCTTGGTGTACAGACTGCCACACAGTTGATTGTATTATCTTCTGTTATAGCATCCGGAGGAGAAACTGAAGTGCCAGATTCACCAGTTTCATTTCGGTTTACAGAACCATCTATTGGAAATAAAATACTCAAAATTAGAACATCCTAAGAAGAAGAGGTCTAGAGATCCTAATAAACAATTTGGCCAATTTGTTCAATACTTTGAATTCCAGTGAGGTGAGCCATTGACCATGTGTGATCAGCACAGTGGGCCTACCAGGCAAGCTAGTTTTTTTTTTAATAATTTGAAAAGATCTCTACTATTTAACCAATCAATTATTACAGTGGCAATTCTCCACTGATTGGCGAGGTGAGTTTCTGCCTCGCTTGTAGAAGAACCTGTAGAGGCTGGATGAACCAGAAGGCCTTAACTTTGCTGAACCATGTAGCAGTTATCCAGGGAGAATATCTTATGACTGAACTTGTAGCTGTCACTTGCCATGAGGATTCCCTGTGAGGTTATAGAACAACCTAATCAAAGGACAGGCCTTGCAAAATTTCAGTGGCCACCACATGTGAAGTGACTTGTATAACATCATCTCTTCTCTGTGATCCATGTAAAAGATAATAAATCAAATTATTTTGTCTTGCTCCTTACCAGTGTGTAATCACTGTACTGATCTCACATTGTACTTGATACCAGCTATTTGATGATATAAGTGAATATGATATCTGCTCTATAAATAAACATAATGCTGATTAAACTTTGTCTCACCCAATGAGATGAGGGGGTGGTGACTCTCCATCATCACTTCCTTGTAAGTTTCCTTTTGCCCTTTTAAATGCTTCCAAACCTACAAGAAATAACAGACAGTGAGATCCCAACATCTTTATCCAGTCACCATCCAGACACATCCCTTGGTTTTACTCTATGATGTCCCATTCCCAGCAGCCTCACCTCTCCAGTCAGCAGGTGGATGATCTGATTGGTCAGTTCCAGGATGTTCTGCTCATCGTTTCCCTCATGTATCAGTGAGTGAGGTGGACACACCGTGTTGGAGCTCTGGGTCTTGCAGGATCCTCTTAACACACAGGGGCTGCTTCTCTGTATTGTAGGCTCAGCAGATCTCTTCACAACAATGTAATCCTGCACATAAAGAAACATGTACTAAAATATCTCTCCAACTAAGCCTATACTTCACTCTTCCTCTCTTTCAGTCTACACAGAACTTCACTTTGTTAACTTGGAGTTATTTATAATGCTTTTTCACTACATTTTTATTTGCGTATGGAGTATATTAATCCTGCTAGTATGTGCTTCTACTACACACCTGTTACTGCTGTCTGTGTGTGCAATGCCGGCCTTCTCCATCATAAAGTTCTGTATAGTGCATACATTTATACCATGTTTAACCCATTAATGACAATACAAGGTGTCATTACATACTGGAAGGCATGGACTTTCAAAATATTGTGGCATCCTAACATCCTTATTTCCCCATGACCCTTCAATCGTACTTACCTAGCCAAATCTGATCAGGGGAGCTGCCTAGTATCCTAGGCAGTCACCCAGCAGCCAATCGCTGTTTTTAAGGTCAGATTTTTTTTGTTACAATTTTACCCTTTTTTCTGTTTTAACTCTTTTTTTTTTCCCCATGTTTTTTAGTCCTTTCCGGCTTCTTGATCACTGTACTGTGTGTTATAAGTGTGATCAGGGTGTTTCGTCTGAACAACCTGACGTATTAAGTTTCTTACTTTTTTTTTTTATTGTTTAATCAGCAAGAATAAATAAATTAACCCTTTCAGTGGTGATCACATCTTTTTATACTGCGATTAATTAGTTATTTTCTTTTTTGGTTTGGGTCTACGGGTCACTTTGAGTGGAAATGGGTTGGGTTGAGAGAGATGGTATAGTTGGCGGATAGGAGATAAAAACAAAAACTCCATTTGCATCATGGCACATTACTGTTTAGCGGAAGAAGCTTATGCCCATGTGCTTCCACAGGGGGGAACTTACCCCCCCCACCCCACCCCCTGCCCTTTTCAGCTTGTTCTGCTATTTTTCGTGTGAGATTTAAAATGAACTGCAAAACCGGCGCCGGCCAGTAGGTGGCGCTGTGTATGGAGAGAGACGTGAATAGGAAGCTGCATCTTATCCCTGCTTCTCTCTGACTGAATCCGCAGGGGAGCAACACATACGGCTAGCAGAGATAGCCTACAGATCAGTGATGTGAGGCATGGGGGGGCAAAGATAGCCTACAGATTAGAGAAGTGAGCCATGGGGGGCGGGGGGCAAAGATAGCATACAGATCAGGGAAGTGAGGCATGGGGGAGGTAAAGTAAGAGAAGGAGCAGAAAGTAGAAGGAATAGAAATGAGCAGAAACGGGCAGCAAGGATCTGGAAGGCACAGCAAGGACCACTACAGGTAAAGTAGGAGAAGGAGCACAAAGGAACACAAATGCTGTCTGTATATGTTCTATGGGCATATTAAGAAGGGCAGCAAGGAGGAGGAAGGGTCTGCAAGGAGCAGGAAGGGTCAGCGAGGAGCAGGAAGGGTCAACAAGGAGCTGGAAGGTAAAGCAGCACAAAGGTAAAGTAGAAGGAGCAGAAAATAGCAGCAAGGAGCTGAAAATAGCAGCAAGGAGCAGGAAGAGACAGAAGGAGCACAAAGGTAAAGTAGGCAAAGGAACAGAAATGAGCAGGAAGGGTCTGCAAGGAGTAGAAAGGGTCTGCGAGATGGAAGGGTATGCAAGGAGAAGGAAGGGTCTGCAAAGAGCAGAAAGGGACAGAAGGAGCACAAAGGTAAAGGAGCAGAAAGAATCAGAAGGAGCACAAAGGTGAAGTAGGAGAATGAGCAGAAAGATCAGAGAGAGACAGGAGCAGAAGGGGGAGCACAATAAGCAGAAAGTAGAAGAAAGGTAAAGGAGCAGAAGGAGCCAAGGAGGAGAGAAGACAGTGTCAGAAGAAAAAGAAGACTGTGACAAATGAAGGAGAAGTAAAGGAGATTGGAGCAGGAAGGACAAGTGAAGTAAACCCTCCACTTTATTCTGGACACCACATCATAAGGCTTTGGTACCTGGGCCTGGCAGGGAAACTTTGGACCTTCTCATCTCCCCAGGTAAACAAATATCAGTGTTAATGTGTTCACTTTTATTTACTGAGTGTCAGTGAGTGCACAGAGGGCTGCTGGGGACGGGTGTGGCTGATTGGCTAGAGCGGTCAGCTGGCACTCTAAGCCAATCAGTAGCTCCCCATTCATAAAAAAAGTAAAACATTTTTATGAACCGGGAACTAGCGATTGGCTTAGAGCATCAACGGACCACTCTAGCCAATCTGTAGCACCCATGCCTGATGTCAATCTGCACTTTCTGACACTACGTTTCAGAAGCCGAATACCACTGAGCGACCTGGAAATCTGGAGCTGGAGAAAGCCTTTCGGGTTAAACCATTTGAGAGCGGTTTAACCCCTTAAAGGAAAGAGAGCACACAGGGGCTTCCTGGCATCATAGCATTTTCATTTAGGTGAAGTTGTTATGGTGACCAGAATGTTCCTTTAATTTGCTTAAAGGAACACTATAGTGTCAGGAATATAAACATGTATTCCTGACACCATAGTTGTGAAAATGCCATTCACCCTGGCTTTATGTGATAATGACTATGCTCCTCCCCTTCATGACACTGTCAAAAAGGGACCAAGCATGGATGTCGTTACAATTATGCCCCCCCCCCCGGAAAAAGTCCTGCAGATGCCCATGCTTATGCCATTCCAACTCATGAAACAGATATTGACACTGTGACGGGGCTCCTGTACTACGACTGAGTACCTCTGCCCAGTCTGCTTCCTAGCCACTTGCAGGGACCCTGGAACACTTCAGCCCTAGTCGAAGCTTGACTGGGGTCCTTCTGGAGCTTTTCCACCCTGGACCAAACACCAGACGACATTGGTCAAGGTCAAAACAACAACTAATTTTAATAGAAAAGGCACACATATTTTAAGCCCCCAACAGCCCAATTTACAGATAATAGGGTGTAAAGAGTACTATAGTATAAGGAAGGGTGGGGTCTGACAGTAGCAAGGGCTGATGGGAGATTGAGGAGGGACATCAGCCCTTGCTATAGTTTAAACTGGTCTGGCAGTGTCCCTGGGACAACGCCCTGGGGAGGGGGAGAGGCACAGACAAGCAATACATTCAACATAAGGAGTAATAAAAAGGAAGTAAGGGCTGTGCCAAAGTCCAGTGTAGCGGATGGCACTGGGCTGTCCTGCAAATGTCTTGTGAATAACTGCATTCGTGTGATCTGCTGGTTTTATATGTGTTTAAAAGAATTGTATTCCTCTGATTGTTCGGTAGAATCATTCGAATAAACTAAGGGAATGAAACTACCGAACAATCAGACCTCCCCTGTGTGAAGTGTGTCCTCAATTACCCGTTGCAACATTGTTGTGAACGGGTAATTGACAAGTTAAGTAGCCGTCCTTTGTTCTCGGGGGTGGCCGCCATTCGACAAACGAACACGTGGCGGCGGCCATTTTAAAACTAGGCTACCACCGCTGAAACCTCCACAAGCCCGGTCCGTTCGGTTCCTAACTACCGAACGGCCCCTCGTTCGGTAGATAGAAAGAACCGAACGAGGGGATTCAGGCGAACCCTCCCTAGCCTCTATAGCCAGAGGCTTTCGTGCAGTGTGTTCCCTTATTCCAAGACCGACCGCAGGGCCCATTCGCATGAAACTGCATTCGGCTGTCTCAGTCAGTGCGGTTGGTCATTTTATTCCCTCCATAAATTTCCCGAACCCCTGGTCTGATCTGGGTGATTTTCGGATATGTTGTTCACCCAGATCAGGGCTATCAGGGGGTGTAGGATTTAAAGGGGTACCCCTACGTTTAGGGGTACATCCAGAAACGGGGGGAATTGCTAGACTGGATAAGGGGATTATGACGCAGGCTGAGGGGAGGAGATGTGTGGGAGGTTACCAGGACAGGATTGGCTACTGTACTAATGATTTTAAATCCCTCCCTTGCATGGGAGCATGCTTTAAAAGGACAGTGTGGCTTAAAGATTTCAGTTCTGCTCCTGAAACTGTGTGTCGTCCAGTTATTGGGATTGCTGTTATTTTACCTGCTGGAAACCTTGCCTGTGGATTTACTATTTACTTGTTCCTGAGCCTCACTTGGATTATAAACGGAGATAACCTGGGGAATATTGCATCTCCGCTACATCCAGTATCAATAAATAAGAAATAAGAAACAGACCAAAGAGTCTAGATGGAATGATCTCAATTAGATCAAATAAAGGGTAACGTGCTTGATTGGGAGTATTGTCCTCACTGTCTTTACCCGGGCAGATCCACTCATTTGAAAAGACAAAGCATAAAAAGGAGCCAAATAGTGTAATAAGTTGAATCCATTTGGGTACAATATGTAAGAGAGATGGTAAACTCACATTTGTAAGAGCTATAGTTAGCTCTAGTTGGAAGGACATACAGCAGTACAATCCCCGCTTATGGGATATATAGTGGACTTCTTCCATCAGGGGTATGTTCAACACTCGGGAGAAGGACAACAAATAGTGCTCACTTGTTAGGATTCCTTGGAGTCCAGAAAATAAAATGCCAGGTAGAAATAAAAATCGGAAGAATGTGTATAAAAAAGATGATTGGCACAAATAAAGTGACCAAAAAATCTTTAATAGTAAAATACATCATAAAAATAATGGTAATCCACAACGCATTTTGCCTATCAGGGCTTCTTCAAAATGGAATAAAACATCATACCTGACAGTGTGAGTTTAAATAGGGAAACACATAAAAAATATCCTAGGAAAAACAGAAATGGAATGGGTTTATAAGTTACAGACTCTTTTACCCAATGGTTTAAATGGTGATTTTGATTTGTTTATTTTTTTGTAAATATTTGTATAGATGTCTTTTATTCTGTATTTTTTATTACTTTTATTTATTTTTATGCATGTTTCTTATTTACCACTATTCCTTTTTGTCTCCCCCCCCCTAATATGGCTACTGCCATCCTTCTTTTGTTCCTTCACCAAGATAGTTACTAGCTCAGCTTAGACGGTACGGCTATAACGTACCCCCCGTCACTCCCACATATCCCTACGTCGACTTTAGCTTTTTGCGCTACGATAGTTTAAACTACCCTTCCT